ATGTAGGCAATCGATTCATCACCATGTCGGAGTCCAAGAATTGAGCTATCTACATTGTTTTTGTTCAAAATTTAAAGTTAGCCAAAAGATTGTATATATAATAAAAATATTTATGGAAATTTCGATTTGGTTTACATAGAAAAAAAAATTAAAACTGTATGGGATATTTAAAGTCAGGAACTTACAGCAACTGTTGAGCCATTTTTGCCAACACCGCCAGCCAAAATAACAGAGAATATATACGTCAATGACCAGAAACCCAAAACTATTGTTGCTAGCGATAAGGTGGACCATATTTCTATTTTACCAAAAATCTATAGGAGGGTATATTTAAACAGTTAAGGGTGTTGCTGTTTTACATATAAACAAAATCTTGTTTAATTCGAATTATTAAATGATTTTTTTTTAAATTGTTTAATTCAATACTTAAATTAACACTTAAAATAAAACCAAGCAAAAAATATTAAGTACATATACTTTTTTAAATATTAATATTGTTGGTATGCAGAATTTGAAATTAGATACAGTATATAAGTAAAAATAAATGTTTAATACTAAATAAATTAGAACAAGTAAAGTTTAAATATGGTTTACTGAATTTATATATAATTATAAGAGATTTTAACACATAATAGACTATCAACAAATTAAAATATTTTATGAAATAAAATAAAAAAGCAATATAATATAAAAATATTTATACCTGTTCTAGATAACTTTTAAAATTTAAAAGGAATATACGATATATAAAACTAAAATTTAACATTGGAAAGATAAGTTGTTTTATTTCGATAATTATTTAAACCAGTCATTCAAAACATTTTTTTCCTATGATCCTCTGATCGATTTGCGAAGTAGCGAATAATTTAATATACAGAAGATTTTTTTAATTGACGTGACATACTTCTTGGAACACAAAAACTATTATTAGTATAATCTCTAACTGTTGATATCTGTGTAATATATTTATTATATTATTATAACAGTTATCTAATATTATCTAATATTAATAATATCTAATATTATCTAATAATAATATTAAGATAAGGAGTAAATAATTTTATGTCATTATTAAGGTACTTTTTTTTCTATTCCTTGTAAATACTCGAATATGAAAAGATTCAACGGAATATAATTTATTAGCCTTATAGTATATATAGCTCTACAATGGAACCCCAAGCTGCAAGGAACAGAAGACGCCCAAAGATGATGTGGCGTAGAAACGTTAATAAGGAAACGAACGAAACATTTAATGAGTTAAGGCATATAGCTAGAAACAGGGATTTGTATAAGTCCTATGTAAATAGACTAAGTTCTTAATTTACCCCTTTGATGTAATGCCAGAACATGTCAATAATAATAATTATTATTGAGTTAATGGTATTCCTAACGCTTATACAGATTAATATGAAGTTTCTGTTCGAACACTGCGGTGTCCGTATTAGCAAGATGTTTGGATTATAGGTTGCACAGATAATCGATAGCATACTGTATTTGAAGTTACTTTTTATACTTAAGTGAATTGTATGGACATATTAGAGTAATTCGGTAGATTGAAACTTTTCACACAGTTTAGTTTATTTGATTATCTTTACATGTGAGTTAATAAATATTGTATTCAAAAAAGTTGAATATACAATAAAGTAAATTTCACTCGTGAGCGGACCTTTAGAGCAAAAGAGAAAATTTGAATTTGCTAAGTGTTGCCATAGGCAAAATATAAGTTTTTTTTTTATAGTTGATTTGTATTATTCGTATTAATCGAAAAAAAAAAAATGTTTTTTTAAGTAAATATTGTTCGTTGTATATATTATAGCAAATTTAGTTCGAGTTTGTAATCAGCGAATAAAATTACACATATTAAATAAAAATAAAGTGGGTAACTTTGACTTAATTTTATACAGTAAAAATACTGTATATATAACCATAATTATATATCTATCTATGAAACACATAAAAAATAAATTAGATTATATTTTAAATATAGAGCAAAATAAATTATAAAAACGCAAATTATTTTCTTCTCAGGTTCAGTTTAACCTGAACTTAGTTTTTTTTTTTAAACTGATAATACTTGTAGTATTATTGCTTAAAAAAATTTATCAATTATATATTTCATCTCCTTAATATTATACCTTATAAGTTTATATTGACTTCCTAAACCTCATTCAAGTATAAAAAATCAAAATTAAAATGAAATTAAAAATTAATTGTATTAATTAGTCCAGTGTTCAACACTTATCAATTGCAAAGTAATCATACCTTAGTCATCCAAACCTCTGAACCGAATATGGCAGATATAACATGTATACCCATTATAGTGAATTGAGCTTCAGTAACATCTATTTTACCAAACCGTAATGTGCCTGAAACGTATGTTTGCCAATGAGCGCAATAAAAAAGTCCAATGGCACAAAAGCACTTAAAAAAATTAATTAAAAAATTATTTATACGTTATTGAAAAAATATTTAATGTATATACCTGAAAGAACAACCAATTTGGATAATGACCCAGCTGACATGATACACAAGCAGATAACGCCACGAAAACTGTAGATATTGAGTCGCAGCCATGGTCAAACAGTTCTCCTAATGGTGATGAGGTGTTCGTGCGACGTGCTTGCTTGCCATCAATAGAGTCTAAACTTTGGTATATAAATAAACCAAGTGCACAGAGAAAACAACTCCATCGAGGCGGTGCGGATTTGCCATCTGGGCTATAACTGAAAAACATAATAAAAATTAGTATTAATTAATAATTATATGTATATAATTATATATAACAAATAAGTAATAAAGTTTAAAATAATTTTGAAGATCTTTATAGATGGATAGTTTTATTTATTACTTTTTTCGTAGTTTATGATATGTTTAAAGTATTAGCTACTCAAGCCCACATATAATAATACTAACTTCCCTAGAAGTTAGTTATGGAAGCATAGACATTTTATTTAGAGATTATACAGATCCCAACTTTAAAGATAATTTTTTTTAAGAAATTCTAATGTTAACAACTTTGTAGCAGTTTGAAGTCCACACAACATTTATATGTATTATATATATGATGTATATATATTATATATATATAATTTATATATATTATTTATTTCAAGGACTTAACCTATTTGTTAGCTTTTGGAACGCTGTTACAAAAGAATTTTATTGTTAGTTGTTCTTATTTAAATTGACCAAATTTGAGGGAGTGGACTACGATTATAAGAAAAACCAGATGAGTACATTGCAATTAATACATTCAATATCAGGATTTCAGAAAATCCTCATCTTGGTAAGACGGATCTACCAATCAATTGCAATAAAATTTACTGCAGTTGCAATATCAACACTTCTGAAAGTCACTATCAATTGCAATTAGATATATATTATATATGTAATGGCATAGTGAAGAAGATGGACGTCATTATGTGTAGAGCTACAGTTGTACACTGATTAAGTAAAAACCGATTTATTTGTAATAAGTTAGAATATAGCATATGTTTTTATATTAACCCCAGAGAGCTCAGTACAGTTTTTTGAGTCCAATTTATCTTTTTGTGTGAGAGGTGGTGAACGAAGGTTTGTTGATAACTGGTATACAATGAAGCTATGATTTTGAAAGAAATTAATGTGTACGGCTAAAAGGCCTAATCTGTAGTTTATATCACGGAAATAACGAAATTGTAAATAGACAAATGCTAAGGTTAGGTATTCTACTAGATGTCAATGAGTCATTCATACTACCTACTGGTATGAAAACTATATGATTTTTATGTTAAAGGATATGGTTCAGAAAAAGGGAACCAGAGGTTATTAAAAATTCTTAATTTCTGTTGTTATTTATACAATTAATAATAAATAAATTATTGCAATGAATTACTATGGTGGAACAATATTTTAACATTAGCTGGTAGAACTAAGACCTTTATCTTTTTGTTTAATGCGGTTATGTTATACTAAGCTTAGTATAGAATATAGTAAGTATAGAAATTAATTATATATTGTATATATGATTACTAAAATTTGTTATAAAATTATTTATTTAGATAAAAAACTGCTTAATAAACTCCTTTATTATGAAAAAAGGTTCCAACGGTAAAAAATTCTAGAAGATATACAAAACCTTATTCCATACATAAGTCAAGCCATAACAGACTCATAACTCCAATTTAAGATAAAACTGTAGAACTTAACACTTTCTGATTACAGTAACTACATTGTAAGTGTTCCGTTCCAGTTGTCAAACTTCAATTATTTTGAAAGACGCGGGGGACCATAACAAATTGTAGTGTTCCCACGATAGTCGTAGCAATTATCTTCAACAAAGCACATGTTTAATACAAATTTGTATGATAAACTGAAAGTATATGAATTATATATGTAATAAACATATAATCAATAACATTTATGACAGAAGTTATTAATACAAACTATGACGTTTGAATTTGGCTAATAATTGGACTATAAAATAGAAAAATAGGTCACCTTTAATCAAATTTAATAGAGTAACAAAAAACTTGGGAAATATTTAATACATGATGAGTTCTCTTGAAGGACTTTTGGATAAGGAGTAACCTAAATAATAATAATTATAGTTAATATGTGATTATAAAGAAGGAATAATTTTGCATTTAAAAAATATTATACAGTTTCCTCATTGAGTTTTAAATGTTTATTTTAGAAAAGTGGTGCTCTTTAAATAAATTTGATATGGGAAAAATAAAACGGTTTCAAGGTGAAGTGCAAGCTGAGTACACTGGGTATGGAATTGAATCACTGCCACCGTAAATAGGAAATTATTCGCAACAAAATATGAACGCGGTTGTGTGCATAAATGCACTTCAAATTATTTGCCATAAATATTTATTTAAACGTTTGTGCTGAAACTTGAACTGTGGATTTTTCATGTGAAGTCTACATGTGTACATATGGATTTGTGTATTTTATTGTTTTTTAAATTTTCCAAAAAAAAAAGTATATTATTTTTATTTAAATTTACAAAGAAACGCAATATCACATTGAAAGAAACTAGATTCCAGAAACTAGACACTAGATTTGCATGCCTTTAAAATTTCGACATGGCTAAAGAATATATATTGTTAAACTAAAATTATACTTATATATTTAAAAAGTAATTTTTAATTCAATTTTAGCTCTTATATCGCTCGCATCAGCTTTTGTTTTTAACAATCTATAGCAAAAATCGAACAAAATCAAAACTTCACACTTATAAGTAACGCATAACCAAAGCTTTGATAAACCACAGAGTTTTCATTAATGGATAGCTCAATCGTTTCTAGATCCTCTAGACCTATTTTTCATTCTTTATACAAGTAATTTTCTTTAAATTTTCTCAGTACCTATTTTTCATTCTTTATACAAGTAATTTTCTTTAAACGGATAGTTGTTTTTACTAGACAGAATCGAACTACTTCAATGGTTTCAGTTATATATCATATATATATCAAAAACCTTCTATAACTTTAATGAAGAAAAGATTAGGTAAAGGTTAAGAAAAGATTTGTAAAGATTAGGTAAGGTTAATACGATTAAAGGTATAGTCACCCCACAGATATCAATGAAGTTTTATCATCACATATCATAATGCACCTCAAGAGTGAGAATATCTGTATTTGGCGTGCTTTATAAGTTCGCTTTTAAGAATTGAGTAAAATTTCAATTGTCAAAAAATATATACTTATGTTTTTTAGTGTATCCGACAATTATATATTTTCGGAAAAGATGGATAAAAAGATGGCTCAATCATCATACTAATATAACCTATGATTAGCACTTCAAATTATTATTGACTTCACTTATTCATCACTTATATACACGATAAGTCCTTACTATGCACAATAAATGTAAGAGGTTATTTATTAATCCGAGAAACGAATAACCGATGTCCATACCGATTTATTTTTACTATTTATATAATATATATATATATATATATATATATATATATATATATATATATTATTGATATGCAGATTGCCAAAGCAACTATATGCAAAAACACCTTTAGCTCAAAAATCCTTTCTATTGTATCTTGAAAACTGTTTATTCAAATACCCTAATTTCTATACCAAAAAATAATCAATAGATAACTCATTTTAAGGAATGTTTAATGGAAAAAGGTGTGTGATAGAAGAAATATTAGTAAAGCGAAATATTTAGAAGATAATATGATATTAATAATATATATATTAATATGATATTAATAATATATATATTAATATATATTAATAATATATATAAATTTTTATTTATATAAAAATTTGAAAAAAATTATCCAAAAAAATAATCCAAAAAATTTTGAACCATTATAATCACCGAATCGATTTAAGTAAAAGAATGTATTAGGTATCAAATTAAAGAATATTTAAATGAACTGAACTGATTTTGAGATATGGAGGGATTTTTGGTTGTGTGTTTTTTCGGTTTTGGAGTTCCTTTAAACAGTCTGCATCTCGGTAAACATTGAAAGTTGATCCTCCATACGTTTTTCTTTGATCTAAGGTCAAAAAATCATCTCACGTATTTATGAAGTTCAGTAGTAAAAATTCTGTATGTAAAAGAATTTGTGAATTTGATTTATGACATCCATCCATATTAAAAAATTTCCCTTTGTCCTTGTTAGACCTTCTTAAAACAGATTTTGTCCTAGATTTTTTTGTATAATATAATAAAAAACAAAACATATATCATTTTTTTTCCTTAAATACAATTACTGTATATTTCAGACTAGTCGACCTCTTGTCTGGTAGCGAGTCTACTAATTAGATAGTGTTCTATTAGGATTTAATATATATGAGTTGTTTTATTAAAAATAGATATAGTTCTATCTTAATCGTTTTTGGAACGTATAAGTTAGCGACAGTACAATTATCTGTATACTCGATATTTTATTTATTTAGTATTGCTCTTTGAATTAGATGTTTTATAACTTATACAGAGAGATATCTGCTAGAAAGCTAAGCACCTACTAGTTACAAACTGTTGCCAAAGATGCCGTAACACTTCTTAACATTAGGAACTAAAGAATGATAGAAGTCAACATAGTTGCAACGTGGTATAGAATAACCAAGGCAATAATTTAATTTAGGTTGCAGTGTTATCGAAAAAAAAAATCAAATTTGGCTCTGTTCGATTATTTTCTTGTATCGAATCTGAAAAAATTATTAGATGATAAAATAATTGAGGTTGTTATATATTTTGAAGAGCGCAAGAAATCGTACTTTGAAACCCAAATCTGTATTAAAAAGCTTTGAATCGAAAATGTATATAAAATTTTTTGAAAAAAGCGTATATATAACTATATGTACTATAGTTTTACAATCTATTACGATTTTCAACTCAGTCAAGACATTTGGGGCAATCCTCACACTATGACAACTAAAGCTACTAGTGATAGTAAAATACCTAAAATTTTTATCTTTCGACAGTTCTGTTAACTTTTTTATAACATAATTTTTTTTCAATTGTCTAGAGCATTGGTAAAAATAATAAAAATAGACGAGAACAATAAAAAATGGTGTGATTGAATTCATACAAACTTACATTTTTTTTTATAATTTTCTTCTGATAAGATTTAAAGCAAAATATATTTATTATCTGGGAACGTAAGTAAGTGAGTAATAGTGTGTGTGGTCAAGAATGAATTGCATATTTCGAATTTTTATTGTAAATATAAAATAAATAATTATAAAAAACAAAAAATTAAACA